ACTCTGGACCCATCGTGCATGGCGGCCAAACATTTTACAAGACCTGGGTCATAATGTAACAAAGAATGGAAAGAKATATCATTAGTGACGTCATATAGAAAGAGGTGCATAAAAGAGAGTAATCTGTTGTACGCTAAAGTGYGTTTCACAGGTTAATGAAAACCAYTCAATTCCGTGAAACTTCCGCCACCTTGAAAAGTGAGCCCCGAGTCACTATGTTGTGCCTTAGAACACATTTCGTAGTTGCTATGTCAAGTAATCTATCATTAYATCGTAATTATATTAACTTKACWTTAGCTTGCAATTGGAACCTTTTAATTTCTTTAGGAGTCAATAATTTCTTAATTCGAGTCCCACTTTTCAAGATGGCGAACGCATTGTTCTCCGAAAGTACTGATGCATGTATGTAATAGATACTAAATTATGCTAATTCACTTGTCTTCCATACTGTAATCAATGCAATTTAGTAGTAATTAGTGACATTTGCTTCAAGAAGTGCTGCGTCAAACTCTACCCAGTCCATAAAACACTATACCTGCATGCCCTTTTAAGGTAACACAGTCACGTGATTTCAGGTCCCACAATTTTACTTGTTTGTCTTCTGAGCCAGACACGACTGTTTTCCCACTGCCCGTCACTACCAGGCATAGTACAGGTTTTGTGTGCCCCTTGAATACATGGGTGGACTCCCCACTTGTCATGTCCCAAACTCTCACTGTTGAGTCCTTAGAAGCTGATACCACGTGACCATCTCCGTCAAATGCTATGCTGTTTATGGGACCTGGAGGAGAGAGCTATATTATTATAACACATACGAACTGAAGCTATCAAGGAAGCCGTCAATAGTCCTAATCGGCTAACGCGTTGCTATAAACGTTTCCACCCAATTCAAACCACCAGGGAGTAAGTTTCATTGTTCGTTGTATTTACATTTCTCAGACGTTGAATTCTTCTTAGAAACAAAAGTTCTTTTTTCCACAGAATTTGAATTGGGTGCCAATGTACATGGCAACGCTTTAGCCGAATAAGTTTATCATTGGATGAACCAATCGATCGATCAAGTTACCATTAATCAAGTAAGCCATCAATCACTCAAGCTATGAATTTGTAGGCATCAATTAATCAATCAAACAAGCTATCATTCAAGCTATTCAGCAACTGATCTAACGTTCATTGTATGGCGCTATCGATCATTCTATCACTCAGTCAAACAGCCTGAGAGGTTTTCTGTTAGTGAATCTATCGATGAATCATGCTATCGATCAATAGATCATTCAACCAAGTTGTCATTCAGCATATAAAGCTGTCAATCAACGAATCAAGCTGCCAATCAACGAAAAATGCTATCAATAAAAAAAACAGCTAGAGCAACCATGAAAGTGTCTCCAAAATGAACAATGAAACAGTTAACAAAGTAGAGAGTAGAGAGGCGACTGGTAACCAGTCATCTTCAAAATCAGTGCAGTATACCTTCATGTCCAGTAAAATCTTTAACAGTCACTCCCTCACGGATATCCCATAATCGTATCACACCGTCATCACAGCCCCCAACCACSTGATTTCCATCTGGTGTAACGGCCAGATAACCAACCTTCCCCTCACTTTTAAACTTATGAAGATTTTCACCAGTATCTAGGTTCCATACTCCCAATTCACGTCCAATAGAGGCCGCGACGCGTGTATCATCTGGAGTAAGGACTAAAAACGAGCTTCCTTTATCCGCCATTTTGAAAGTGTGTAAGCAATCGTGATTGTGTCCTTTTCCGCCTTGATTCCATACATTGACAAGACCGTCTTCACCTGACGTGACAAGCAAGCTGTTGTCACGCGTGACAGCCACGGAATTGACACGTTGTGTGTGACCGCGAAGGTTGGTTATGAGAGGTCCCCCTACATAATAAATGGAAATATTGTGAAGTCCTCGTCCGACACACTGGGGCTTTTGAATGGCGAACTGCATTAGGATTTAATAAATGGCGAGAGCGAGAGGGAATACTTAATATACATTTGAATAACGGGAAATCATGGTTCTGGGGCCTACATTTTGTAAAAGGAGGAGAACAGAGAATGAAGGTGGGTGGAATTCATTGGAGTACGCATGCGCAGGTCTAAAAGGGCCCGAGAGGAGCTTTCTGTACCACATGGCGCGAAATAAGATAACTGCTACATTCATATATGCTTATTCTTATACCAACCAAGTATTAAAATTTAAGGAACCGAAACGTATAAGTAGCTGATTGTTTTTCATAACATTACATTATGCTAATCATGGTCTTTTATATATTTGTACTTATTATCATTCATTTTATCACTTTGATAATGGAGTGACGATGACCCCGAAACGTCGTGAATTAAATCAGCTACTTATACGTTTCGTTTCCTTAAATTTTATTATTTCTTGTTATTCCAAAAAACTACCAACCAAGTATTACCTGCAGAGATAAGGCAAGGTGACATTGGGATGAAGAAAGGAGTGTTCCTTGCGTGACACCATCGATAGGCGTGACCAATCAGTGTTGCAATATGAGGAAACTGATCTTTGAAGGCGAGCATGCGTGCAATGATTTGTGGGGCGAGGGAATCAGGGTCATTCTTGATGTTACTACTTGCAAGGACAAGAGTTTCTTTCGCAAGCCTAGAATATAAGAGACATTAAAGTTGAAAGACAGTACAAAACCACCTATATGTGATGCCTATGTTTACGCAATGGAGTCAATGTCTGGAGGCAGGACAATTCCCTTCCAAAGCAATCTTTTCACCAGTGAAGTAAGTGGTGACGGATTTTGAAGGTGCTTACATGTATACATGTAAAAAACAATAAACAGAGACGGGAGCAGTGGAAGGTAAAAGAAAGGAAAAGATTAAGGGCGCATTACCTAAATGAAAAACTGTCGTTTCCGTTTTCCGTGTCGACTTTCACTGTGAGTGACATTACCTTATTTCCATGTCGTGACCGTCACGCAATGCGTTATCGTAATCTTCAAGTACGTCATTGAGAGATTGACCATGAATCTTTGCGTTGATCCATTCAAAATTAAACAAGATTTCATTTTTCAATGCCTCCATGTGCTCGGCTTTGACGAAGTGATACGGAGTCTCACTGAGTTTGCGCAGGTTGTAAACGTCCTTTGCGAAGAGAAGAGGTTGCGAAGCGACTTGTCTGTCAGCATCGGGTAACGCCTTCTTGCGTCGTGTAAGCGTGATGTGTTTCTTGCAGCCGCCTCCCCAAGTACCTACCACACAACATTTGAATCAAATTAATCAAAACAGCCATTCAGCTGTGTCGGGTTGTTCAATTAAGCCCGATTAGCGCTAATGCTGTGTTAACTCTTAGAAAACCTATGCCGTGTCCAAAAGTTTGAAAGATGTATTGGTATGTTATTTATAACGAAATTCTTTTACAAGACACCCCGGCAAGACATCATCGAAGTTTAATATACGGAGGCTGGCCTTTGAGGCCTCGTTTTAGTGCTTCTTCCCCTGGTCGGCGACCATGACATATCGCGGCGCCATTCTTGAAAGTCGTGAATTCATAGAGCTTAAAGGGATAATAAGTAAGTTTCTGAACGAAAAAGTCGTAAGGAATGCCGGATAACCATGGCCATCTAGCAACATCATATCACTGGTGTTGACAACCTCGTTCCCAGGGCCTTATCCCTTCGCTTGACCCCACCGAGGTTGTGGTGTTGAATGATCAAACACTCCTCGTTCTGGCGCTTAAGGATTTATTTGAAAGGCTCTTTTATACTATTAAAGTACTTTTATATCATACAAACTGATGCATTTTAGATACCTTGAAAATACTCGCACATCAAAGCATGTCGGGAAATTCTTTCATCTCTGACGCTCAGATACCGCAGCTCCGCTGACTCCCAAAACTGACGATGATACCACGTGACAATGGTCTTCTTATCGGCCTGTCGCTCCACAAAGAACTCATTAATGTCATGCCTAATGCGAGCCCACAGTAAATTTGGTAAGCGTACGACTCCTTCAACAGGAGGATCCCARTAYTGATAAACGTCATCRATGACRTCATCGTCGAGYGACAAAATGTCCTCAAGCTCGTTCTCCGTGAGCCCGTGGCGGGCAGCGGTGATGTAACCAAGAGCATGCGAGACCAAGACTTTTCCGTGCTTTCTTTCGATTCGTTCAAAGAGTAAAGTGATTGCTTCTTTCACGCTTGCGCCGAGGTCAACACCGCTGACATCTGTATATGAGCACCATTGAGAGGCCTCTGTATAAATGAGTTTCAGGAACAGAGGCTGTGGGCATTGGACGAATGCCTTCATGACAATCTCTCGCTGTGATTCGGTGAGACTTCGATGACTTCCCTCAAGCCAGGCGTCAAGAATCTCATGGCCAGTCTCTTTGGTGAGTGAAGGCACCTCAATATAGCATTCTTCGTCGCGTAGTCGTCGGCGAAGAGTCGGTAAGATGTCGTAATATCCCGGTAATACAGATATGATAATTTTAACACTCGGTTGACAGGATTTTGGCAGCCAATTCATGAGATGTGCATTGTAACTTGGCGTTAGCTGGTCGATTGAGTCGATCACAAGTAGAAGCGGTTTGTCTGATGTGATTTCAGG